AATGCCTTTGACAAACAACATAAGAGTATGAAAATTTCCCAAAGTGTTAATAAAAGTGTCCTCTTTCCAATGAACCAACCCGTTTTGAAAAATAACTTTTAGTTTTTGAGAAAACAATATTTGAAGTTTTGATAAAATTTTCGATGTTGCAATTTTCAAAATTCGCTATAAAATTAATTTCTTGAAAGATCCTTGTGATTTAATTTTTGTCATTGCTATTTTTGTTGCATTTTTACTACATTTTCATCATTAATTTTCTAATAAAGCTAATAATCCTTAATACAACATCTAGCAACTTTTTTCCGAGGATTTCTCTCAATTAAACTGTAATATTGCACATTAAAAAGTTTATAACACGAAAGACATAAAAATCTCGGTTAAAAACGATTTTTATAACCATAAAAGATTAAAAACTTTTCTTTATAGGTGTTATAGTTTAAAAATATACACATATAAATTTATAAGTCAGAAAACGTTAAAGATAATATAAAAAATTCCTACGTTGAAAGAGTATTTTACAAAAATTCTTTATAAACCGAACGTTAGCATAATTTATTTTCATTGTATTAACCGGGTAAATGAAGTTCTTATCAAAGTCGTTAACTTTATATAGTTAAATATTTCATTTACGATACTCGTTCGCCACATACACGTCGCGTAAATAAACGAGGCTTTTTAATTTTCTCGGGAGAAATGAAAACGGTGCGATAGTTTTCGACCGACGAGAGAATTTGAAAGCTCGAAAAGAAGACGACGACGGAAAGTCTCGGATTCTCGGAGAGTGACGTTAAAACGGAGTCGTCCAATTGCGCGCTTGGAAAATTATCGATTATCGTCGTTGTGGAAAATGGCAGAGGTGTGATAACATATGGAGTGACACCGTCGTCGTGCTACAATATGAAAAGCTCCTTCCGCAAGCTTGTCATTTTCATATCATGTAGTGTTTGTGCTTTGGGCGACTTGGAAATATACCCGGGTAAGTAATTATAGAGATTTCTTTAAGTTTATCCAAAGAAAATTCTTTTGTCTTATTAGTCGTTTCGGGTGAAAAATTTATGTCTTGTATATCAACAGAGTCATTTAGAAATTTTTATCGTACAACAAGTATTAACATCATCAAAAATTTATAGTATTTGAAAAATTTTAAACTCACATAAATTTTTTTTTATTCTAGTATGACTAAATAAAGTGGTTTTACTTTTTAGTACTTTCTGTAGACAGGAAACTTGGAGATGATAACGGGTGATATGTAAATTTACGTACATAATACAGATAAACTATTTAAAAACGTTTCTTTAACCAGAAATAAATTTCTATTGTTTATATCTTTGATATTTTCAGGTATTAACTTTGAGGACCAAAACAAAAACCTCGATATTTCCGATGATCCACTCCTTCCAATTTACAATTCGCGTCGAGCTCAAGCGGAGCTCGAGCTGGACCAGAAGTATTTCGGGATGCCATTGGAGGCGTTTAGAAACCGACTAACCACCAATTTAAAGGCGATGCAAAAGGAGATTATCAGCAAGCAGAACGCAATGAAAGCAAAAGCCCTAAACGCCTACAAACATATGTCGCTTCAGGATATTCCGTCGAAATATCACAAGTATTCACCGCATGATTATGGCAACGCGAATTTACACAATATTCTCGGTGACGTAGCGAGACAGGACTCGGATTTCACTTTTAGGGATGAAGACACTGATGATTTTGATGATAATTTCGTGAATAATTATGGGGATCAGATGGCCAGGGAACCCGAAAACGATAATTATGAAAGGAGTGGGGAAAGTTACGGCGGAGCTGATTCAAAGTTTAGTTTTGTTACTGAAGAGAAACCGGTTAAATTTGCAGTTGCTCCACCTGATCCTAGGTTTTATGCTGAAAATCCACCGGAAGGTAAAATATATTGTAAATGTGATTTTTATTGCGCACTGTACACTTTAGCACTTTGTTTTGGAAAAGCTAAATCTCTTAGATGTTGAATGTTACCCCACTAAGTAGTCCTTGCTAACCAAGTTCATCGTTTCATCTTATGATATTTCGATGTTTTGACACATAATATTTGCGTGTCATTAATGTGATTCGTTGAGTTTAATGCACCACTTCGTTGTCCAGATGGAAATTTTTTTAAGAGCAGATTTTTAGTTCTGAAAAGGTTGTTGTCCAACCCTAATCAGCTTCAATACCAAGTAAGAATCTTCATGTTTCAGAAATTGGTAAAAATAACATATAATACAGGTATTAGCAATTTTTATATTTAAATAACGTCTATTTCGTACACTTGTCCATTCATCAAATGTGTTGTGTCATTCGTTTAGTCGTGAAAAAAACTTTCAGTTGTCAATGTCAACTTTAATTTTATTATTATCTTCGTAATTTTCATAAAATAACCTTTAAAGTGAGCCCAAACATGACGCATTTATCTCAAAAAACCAAAAAGTTTGATCAATTTTGACATNTATACGAACAAATTTCAGTACTCCTCACTAATTGTGAGGTTGAGTTTCATTTCGCTTCGTACTTTGACATCACGCAGACAAAGAAAAGTTAAACACTTCAATGAAAAATAGTTATAGCTAATACCATAAATACCGGTATTTTACCTTAGTAAATACCGGTATTACGAAATTGCAAAATAGTCAGAAATACCGGTATTTCGGTATACCGGTATTGCAATTACTAATTGTAGCTTATAAAGTTGGCCTTTATGCCATCAAAAACGACAACCTTTGATTTTCGAGTGTTTTCTCATTGACATCAGTAACTCGATATACAGGTGTCCCGTTAAGCATACGGAGCGGCTGTATCTCTAACTTATTTGTTCTAAAGCAAACGGTCTTACTAAAAATATCTTTAAAAAGAGCATAAAATGCTCTTTCAAACAATATCGAAAATATTCAAATCGGTTGAATGGACCAGGAAATATTAAAATGTAAACATATGAAAACGCATTGGCCTCCCCCTCCCTTATTATGACAGATATGAGAAAAATCGCAAAACAATAGCGATGCGGTATTATCCAAGCTATGAAATGATGTTGTCAAAATTATAGCTCATCGTCTAAGTTTCTGAGATAGCGGGAATTTTATGTTACTCAATGGCAGTTGCGCCCCCTAGCGGTCGAATTACGAACTTCAAAATAATTTCCAGCTATTTCTCTTGGTCACTTTGCCTATAAGGATTTTTTTCCCAAACCTCTAAGCTTTATTGTTGTCGAGATACAGCCGCTCCATACCCTTAACGGTACATCCTGTATATGCTCCATGGCCGACCGAAGTTTCTAATTCATTTAGACCACTATATGCCGTTTTGCTATTATACTGGCAGTTTGGAGTCTTACTAAATAAAGACGCCACATTATTTGGCAGCCGATTTTATCCAAATGTTCCGCTCTGACGTACCATCTCTGCTATGTTTTTTTTTTCAAGGCTCCAGGATTCGTAGTCTTCTGCAAGTTTCCTTTTCATGTATGCAGCATCTTCTTTATCTACAACCACAACGACTTGGTAACACTTCAAACAATTTACTTCGTGGCACGCTGCCAAATGCGTTCTTAAGGTCTATGAAGACTGAATGTGTTTCCTAATTACTGATGCGGGGCTAATGCTTTGATAGTAGCGAGAGGAAGTTTTAGGAAAACCAATGTCTTCAACAACAAAATTTTATTTACAACAATAATAACAATAATAACAATAATGTAAGTGCGGGCGCGAAAAGGGTAACTGCTGACTGATCTGCCGATGGTAACTAACAACTAATAACTGATGGTAACTGACTGCTAACTGAACTCTCTGGGCCGATCTTGGTTCCTTTTATCCCCGAGTCCAGTAACATCCCCGGTGAAAGCTCTCTTCGAGTCCTTGTCTGGACCAAAAGGATCTGCTGTCCAGATGTACGGAGAGAGTTCTTCTGAATAGTTTCGAACGCTTTCTGGCGACCAGATGTTTTCCACGGAGAGCGTCCAGTAATATCTCCGGTGAAAGTTTTCCGGGAACCCTTTGCCTGGACCAAAAGGGTGTCCTGCCCAGATGACCGGAGAGAGATTTTTTTGAACGGTTTACAAAGTTCTCTGGCGTCCAGATGTTCGCCACAACTGACATAATGTTTTTCTATCAATAGACTCAAACTAAATATGTTATCCATGCATGGTATAGCAACCCTAATTTCTCAAACAACTTTGACATAGTTGGCAATAGGGATATCGATCGATATGATTCCCTCATCTTTTAATTTCCTCATCAACTTCTTTAGCAGTAACCAATGGAATCCCATCAACCACTGGGGTTGAGATTTGACATGAACTCCTTCATTAGGATGAAGTCTTGTATCAAGATGTTTTGCAAAAGTATTAGCTTTCTTCCAAATTGTTACAAACCCAGCAGCCATCAACTTTTTTTGGTTGGCTTCTTGCTTGATAGCATCTTCTTCTAAGTTTANCAAAGAAGACGTACTTATCTCAAAAAACAAAAAAGTTAGAATAAAAAGTATTAAACCTGAAGTTAGCAACAATGAAGATAGCAATTTAATTTTTAAATATTAATACCAACCTTAATTTTTGATTTAATTTTATTATATTTTTATTTTTGTCACAAATGTTGAGACATTTTATAAAAATTAAGAATATGTCAAAATGACGTTGACATTTCAAACCGGAAATTGTTATATCTCGAGTAATATTGGAATTACACGTATCATGTTTGGACTCATTTTAAAGGATTTTTCACGACGATTACAAATATGTCAAAATTGACGTTTACATTCTTAACCGGAAGTTGACCATAACTTCATTAATATTGAAGATAAATATGTGGTGTTTGTACTCATTTCAAAGGATTTTTAATGAAGATTACAAATATGTCAAAATTGAGGTTGACATTTTAATACGGGTATTAGCAATTTTTATATTTAAATAACGTCTATTTCGTACACTCGTCCATTCATCAAATGTGAGGCTACATTTTTTAACATTTCATTTTAATGCTGTTAATTCTTTTTTCAGAGAATTACGAACATTGTTACTGTAGTTTATAATAGTTCTTCTTATAGTATTAACAGATTTTGGTATATTTTTGAAACCTCTTGCAATTAATCACTTTCTCAATTCAATTGAAATACAAAATTTTCTGAACAACAAGCCATCTAATGCTGTCATTCTAGATAATACTTCATCGAAACAGTCATTTTTTGTATTAAACAAATCTGTAATCTGTGATGTCTTAGGTTTAGTAGTATCATTTTTAGGTGAGTTAGAATTTGTACTCATACAATTTGCCTCAGATTCTTTTCTTTTCAAAAACTTTAATAATCCTTGAACATGTTTTGCACCTTGCCAGCATATTTTTTTTATCATATAAATAGTAAAACCAAACCGAAGTATTATCAGCAGATTTTTATGTTTTTTGAAATTATTATTATTCATTATGGATAAATAATAAATCGGAACATAAACAAAATTACAAATATAAATGTTTTAAACAATAAAGCGTATAATACATATTGTAGGTAGTTACCTATTTGTAGATAAAAGAACTTGAGATGAGGACTAGCAATTAAAAATATATTCAAATGTTTAAATATTTAAAACTATACAAACAAATTTCAGTACTCCTCACTAATTGTGAGGTTGAGTTTCATTTCGCTTCGTACTTTGACATTAGGCAGACAAAGAAAAGTTAAACCCTTTAATAAAAAATATTTATAGCTAATACCGAAAATAGCGGTATTTTACCTTAGTAAATACCGGTATTACGAAATTGCAAAATAGTCAGAAATACCGGTATTTCGGTATACCGGTATTGCAATCACTAATTGTAGTTTATAAAGTTGGCCTTTATGCCATCAAAAAAGACATCCTTTGATTTTCGAGTGTTTTCTCAATGACATCAGTAACTCGATATACATGTTCCATGGCCGAACGTAGTTTCTAATTCATTTAGACCACCATGTGCTGTTTTGCTGTTGTACTGGCAGTTTGGAGTCTTACTGAATAAAGACCACCTTATTTTGCAGCCGATTTTATCCAAATATTCCACTAAGTATACCATCTATGTTTTTTTTTCAAGACTCCAGGATTCGTATTCTTCTTCAAGTTTGCTTGTCATGTATGCTACATCTTCTTTATCTACAACCACAACGACTTGGGCACTTCAAACAATTTGCTTCGTGGCATGAAGACTCAATGTGTTTCCTAATTCCTGGCAGAATGTTTTTCTATTAATAGTCTCAAACTAAATATGTTGTCCATGCATGGTATAGCAACCCTAATTTCTCAAAAAACTTTGACATAGCTGGCAATAGGGATATCGATCGATATGATTCCCTTATGTGCATGTTTTCCATACATCTGAAACATAGTTTAGCCATATATAAGCATTGATCAAAATAGTTATCTTTCTTCGCTTAAGATTGCTTTTAATTTCCTCAGCAACATCCTTAGGAGTAACCAATGGAATCCCATCAAGCACTGGGGTTGAGATTCGACATGAACTCCCTCATTAGGATGAAGTCTTGTATCAAGATGTTCTGCAAAAATATTTGCTTCCTTTCAAATAGTTACAAACCCAACAGTCATCAACATTTTTTGGTTTTTATTTTGGTTGGCTTCTAGCTTGATAGCATCTTCTTCTAAGTTTATGCTTTTCAGCTTCCTAATTTCCTTTGAAAAATTTATTTCTTTCAGTCTACGCTTAACACGTTAGCATTGGTAAAAGTATCTAGTTCTTCTTCTAAGTACTCTAATTGAAATAACCTCAATCTGTATGTTTGTTGATTAGCGTTGGGTTTTGTTGCTTCAATTTTAATATAATTTGGTGGTACATTTTTGACAATAAGTCTATCAAATCAGGAGTCTTATTAAGAAACTAGGGCAAAACGTCAGTTTGCTAGTAGACACGAATTCGAATCCACATCTAGCAGCAACTTTGTATAATTTACTCCCTTAATGGTAATGAGTCTGGTGTCCCAATGGGCACACTTAGTATTGAATTTTTCTCCAACAATGAAGCGGTTGCTTAATTTATTAAGGAATGTAATATACTCATATTCGAAATTGTTGCATGTTGCAATGTTGTATATGTAGTAAATTGCTATTGTTACAATTGTAGCTACATATTTTCCTTCTTCTACCTCTGCGATCTGTATCGGCCAATAAGATGAGATTCTGAAATAAGACATACATCATCATTTGCCGTGTACAGAACTTTTTGTAGTCCATCTTGGTGCTCCAGCAGTCTCGGAGAAGCCGTTAAGTCTTGCCAGAAGCTTTAATTCTGCTCTTAATTTCATTGAGTGCAAATCTTGTTATCAGTACTCATTTAGTTTAAGATAAATTATTGGCTCTATCTTGACTATATGTTTTCTGAGGATTGTTAGACTCTTTCTAAGTAACATCTTGATTTATTTTACAGTTAAGTGCCTTGTTACAATATTTTTTGTATATTTTCTCTATGTTATAGTTTTTGACTACAATTCACCACAACAACACAATCAACGTCAAACGACAGACACGGAAACTGAAGAGGAAGAAAAGGACGAGGAAGAAAACGAAAGAAAAGATGATANTTAGCTTTCTTCCAAATTGTTACAAACCCAGCAGCCATCAACTTTTTTGGTTATCAAGCAAGGTCTTTGGCTATCAAGCAAGAATGCCTGATTGCATCTTCTTCTAAGTTTATGCTTTTCAGCTCTTTAATTTCATTTGTTTCTTTCAGTCTACGCTTAACAACGTAACACTGGTAAAAGTGTTTAGTTCATGCTTATGTACATGTTTTCGATACATCTGGAACATAATTTTGCCGTATATAAGCACTGATCAGAATAATTATCTTTCTTCGCATAAAATTGCTTTTAATTTCCTCAGCAACTTCCTTAGGAGTAACCAATGGAATCTCATCAAGCACTGGGGTTGAGATTCGACATGAGCTCGCTCATTAGGATGGAGCCTTTTATTAAGATGTTCTGCAAAAATATTTGCCTTCTTCCAAATAGTTACAAACCCAACAGCCATCAACTTTATTTGCTTTTTATTTTGGTTAGCTTCTTGCTTGGTAGCATCTTCTTCTAAGTTTATGCTTTTCAGCTCTTTAATTTCTTTTGGGAAATTTATTTCTTTCAGTCTACGCTTAACAACTTAACACCGGTAATAGTGTTTAGTTCATGCTTATGTGCATATACATCTGGAACATAATTTAGCTGTATATAAGCATTGCTCAAAATAGTTATCTTTCTTCGCATTAATTTGCTTATAATTTCCTCAGCAACTTCCTTAGGAGTAACCAATAGGATCCCATCAAGCACTGAGGTTGAGATTCGATATGAACTCCCTCATGAGGATAGAGTCTTGTGTCAAAATGTTCTGCAAAAGTATTAGCTATTTTCAAAATTGTTACAAATACAACAGCCATCAACTTTTTTTGGTATTTATTTTGGCTGGCTTCTTGCTTGATAACATCTTCTTCTAAGTTTATGCTTTTCAGCTCTTTAATTTCTTTTGGGAAATTTATTCCTTTCAGTCTACGCTTAGCAACTTACTGGTAAAACTGTTTAGTTCTTCTTATAAGTATTCTAATTGAAATAACCTCAATCTGCATGTTTGTTGATCAGAATTGGATTTTGTTGCTTCAATTTTAATATAATTTGGTGATACATTCTTCACAATAAAGTCTATCAAATCGGGAGTCTTATTAGGATCACTAGGCCAAAACGTCAGCTTACTAGTAGACACGAATTCGAACCCACATCTAGCAACAACTTTGTATAATTCATGAGTGTGGTATTCTAATGGGTTAATTTATTAAGGAATGTAATATACTCATATTCGTAATTGTTGCAATGTTGTATATGTAGTAAATTGCTATTATTACAATTGTAGCTACNAATATGTCGAGTTTGGACTCATTTTAAAGGATTTTTTATAAAGTTGACAAATATGCCAAAATTGATAGTTGAAAGATCAAATTTTTTGGTTTTTTGAGATAAATGCGTCATGTTTGGACTCACTTTACAGGTTATTTTATGAAAATTACGAAGATAATAAAATTAAAGTTAACATTGATAACTAAAAGATTTTTATTGTTGTAAACATTATTTCTTTCCATTTTATTTTAAATAAAGTAAAATACTTTTTTCTGTCTGTACTTTTATTAAAATGGATTGTTATAAATTCTACCGGTTTCGGCTTATTTACAAAACCATCTTCAGGAAACTTCGAATCTCGTCAATTTATTTTAAATCTCTCGTGNGGTTGCTTAATTTATTAAGGAATGTAATATACTCATATTCGAAATTGTTGCATGTTGCAATGTTGTATATGTAGTAAATTGCTATTGTTACAATTGTAGCTACATATTTTCCTTCTTCTACCTCTGCGATCTGTATCGGCCAATAAGATGAGATTCTGAAATAAGACATACATCATCATTTGCCGTGTACAGAACTTTTTGTAGTCCATCTTGGTGCTCCAGCAGTCTCGGAGAAGCCGTTAAGTCTTGCCAGAAGCTTTAATTCTGCTCTTAATTTCGTTGAGTGCAAATCTTGTTATCAGTACTCATTTAGTTTAAGATAAATTATTGGCTCTATCTTGACTATATGTTTTCTGAGGATTGTTAGACTCTTTCTAAGTAACATCTTGATTTATTTTACAGTTAAGTGCCTTGTTACAATATTTATTGTATATTTTCTCTATGTTATAGTTTTTGACTACAATTCACCACAACAACACAATCAACGTCAAACGACAGACACGGAAACTGAAGAGGAAGAAAAGGACGAGGAAGAAAACGAAAGAAAAGATGATAACCACATTCCTTTCTTAGCAAATTTTGGAAAATCAGATCGCATATCAGAAGTAGACGTAGATGAGGAACATGCAAACGAGGATGATAGTGCCGTGAAGATTGTTGCTGTTAGACCGAATGTATCGGATACGGATACTGCTGGTGTTTATATTATCGCCGTTGTTGCTGGAATTAGTGCTGCTGCTACTGTTGGATTGATTGCGTTTGGCATCGGGTGGTACAAGTAAGTAAAAAATAGACTAATTACTTTTAAAACCGAATTTTGTCTAAAAAGATACTTAAAATAAAGTTAAAAACATGATTCCACTCAATTCGACTTGACTAAGCGACAAATAAACAATATTGAGATGAAAATGAGTTGAAAAATATAAGACTTCTCAGAATAGACAAAGTATTGAAAATTGTTTGGTGCCTGTCTATTTTTATCAAAGAACACTGATGACAGCCATCACAAGCACAGAATCCGCTTGCTCAGTCATCTTACGATTATACATGTTTCTGTAATTTGTGGCATAAATTTAATCACAAATACAAATAGAGTCAAAATGATGTTTCGTGTAAAAATCGACGATTTTTTTTATAATCAATGTGAAATGACCTAAAAGACACGTTACAAATAAAAAGAAAATGCGAAAAAATGACTAATACTAGATTAACCTCAGTTATAAAACTTCTATTATATGATAACTAACTTCAGGTTTAGAATGTCAACCTCAATTTTGACATATTTGTAATCTTCATTAAAAATCCTTTAAAATGAGTACAAACACGACATATTTATCTTCAATATTAGTGAAGTTATGGTCAACTTCCGGTTAAGAATGTCAACGTCAATTTTGATATATTTGTAATCCTCGTGAAAAATCCTTTAAAATGAGTCCAAACATTATACGTTTAATTTCAATATTACTCGAGATATAAGCAATTTACGATTTGAAATGTCAATGTCATTTTGACATATTCTTAATTTTTATAAAATGTCTTACTATTTATCACAAAAACAAAAATATAATAAAAAAAAATCAAAAATTAAGGTTGGTATTAATATTTAAAAATTAAATTGCCATCTTCATTGTTGCTAACTTCGGGTTAATGCTTTTTATTCTAACTTTTTTGCTTTTTGAGATAAGTACATCATCTTTGGACTCATTTTAAACGTTTTTTAATGAAGATGATAAATATGTCAAAAGTGACGTTGACGTTTCAAACCGGAAGTGATTGTATCTCCATTAATATCAAAGTTAAATATGTCGAGTTTGGACTCATTTTAAAGGATTTTTTTATAAATTTGACAAATATGTCACAATTAATAGTTGAAAGATCGAACTTTTTGGGTTTTTGAGATAAGTGCGTCATGTTTGGACTCACTTTAAAGGTTATTTTATGAAGATTACGAATATAATAATAAAATTAAAGTTGACATTGACAACTGAAAGTTTTTTTNAGGTATTTTAATGAAGATGACAAATGTGTCAAAATTGACGTTGACGTTTCAAACCGGAAGTGATTGTATCTCCATTAATATCAAAGTTAAATATGTCGAGTTTGGGCTCAATTTAAAGGATTTTTTTATAAATTTAACGAATATGTCAAAATTAATAGTTGAAAGATCGAACTTTTTGGTTTTTTGAGATAAATGCGTCATGTTTGGACTCACTTTAAAGGTTATTTTATGAAAATTACGAAGATAGTAAAATTAAAGTTAACATTGATAACTAAAAGATTTTTATTGTTGTAAACATTTTTTTTTCCATTTTATTTTAAATAAAGTAAAATACTTTTTTCTGTCTGTACTTTTATTAAAATGGATTGTTATAAATTCTACCGGTTTCGGCTTATTTACAAAACCATCTTCAGGAAACTTCGAATCTCGTCAATTTATTTTAAATCTCTCGTGATAATTAGCATCTCAATAAAAACGTTTAATAGAAAATTCAAGATGCTAACTATCACAAGAGATTTAAAATAAATTGACGAGATTCGAAGGTTCCTGAAGATGGTTTTGTAAATAAGCCGAAACCGGTAGAATTTATAACAGTGAATCCATTTTAATAAAAGTACAGACAGAAAAAAGTATTTTATTTTATTTATAAAAGATTTTTTCACGATTAAAATAACTTCAGTTATAAAACTTCTATTATATGATAACTAACTTCAGGTTTAAAATCTCAACCTCAATTTTGACATATTTGTAATCTTCATTAAAAATCCTTTGAAATGAGTGCAAACACCACATATTTATCTTCAATATTAATGAAGTTATGGTCAACTTCCGGTTAAGAATGTCAATGTCATTTTGACATATTCTTAATTTTTATAAAATGTCTTAATATTTGGCACAAAAACAAAAATATAATAATAAAAAAATCAAAAATTAAGGTTGGTATTAATATTTAAAAATTAAATTGCTATCTTCATTGTTGCTAACTTCAGGTTTAATGCTTTTTATTCTATCTTTTTTGTTTTTTGTGATAAGTGCGTCATCTTTGGACTCATTTTAAAGGTTTTTTAATGAAGATGACAAATATGTCAAAATTGACGTTGACGTTTCAAACCGGAAGTGATTGTATTTCCATTAATATTAAAGTTAAATATGTCGAGTTTGGACTCATTTTAAAGGATTTTTTATGAAGTTGACAAATATGTCAAAATTAAAAGTTGAAAGTTCGAACTTTTTGTTTTTTTGAGATAAATGCGTCAAGTTT